TGAAGCTCAATTTAATCATACTGTTTGTATTTACCATACTTTAATATGAGATCTTTTGAATTCCAGAAGCTTTGTTGGAGAAACTGAAAATATTATCCAGGAATTCCTGTCTGATCGAGCTTTTTTTTTTTTTTTTTTTTTTCAATTTAATCGAAAGCTCAGTTAGTCTAGGTGGCGGAAGGACAAAAATTGGTTAACAAATTACACATGCGTTCAGTGCCGCTCTGATTAGATTGGAAGATCGGAAAACCAACAGAAACAAGAAAACTTAACACTAATCAAAGTGGAGTGAGTTCACGACACTGAATTGTGTTAAAAAACGTTCCACCAAGACGGCCATAATATATGCCAATCAAATGCCTCAATTAATTGAGGTTTAATTCCTGTAAACGAAAAAAAGCCGAGTCAGATCCACATACTTTCTTACGCCGAGCGCGTGACAGTCTAACAAAATCGTTAATTAGTCTAATTGGTCAGAAATTCACGTCATAATAGCAAATGCCAACCGGTGACGTCATTGGTTACAAGCATGGCTTGCTCTCGAGTGTAACAACAAATGAATTAACTTACAAAATGTTTTCGTCGTTTTCCAGTTATGTGTGGGGCTCACCCGAAGGAGTCCAACAAGAAGCTAACAACGGAGAGGTGTTCTATGACGACTCCAAAGTTACAGAGGACGACTGGGTGTTGGTTGAAGAAATAAAACTCGCCAGCGGATCAAAACAAGACGGGCGAGTTTCTTCTCTACAAACTTTGTTCGAGGAAAACGAACCGAAATTCAGTGAAACTACGAAGGAAACAGTTCCCGGGCAAGGAAGTTCGTCGGAGAATGATAACACAGATTTGAGCGATAAGTCCTCGCTCGGGATTTTGATCCCGACAAAACAATCGGATGCCAGCGACAAGTCATCGCTTGAAATTCTCTTCGTCGAAGCTCAGTCCAGTGAAAGTGCAGACAAAGATATTTCAGATATCTCCATGAAAACGGACGAAACTGATTTTGACGCGAAATCTTCACTGCAGTTCCTGTTTGATGAGTCTCTGCACAACGAAAGCACCAATGCAGGAAACAACTCCGCGTCGCTATTCACTCTCAAACCCCTCCCCGATGCACCGATTGTTTTAGCGCCAAACACTGGCCAATCACGTCACCTCTACAATAGATCGTACAGTGCCGACTACTACCGAGATCCGGAAGTTGTGATCGAGCCGACAGTGTTAAGGCGGCGTCATGTGACGAGACTTTCCAAGCGTTCAAGTGATTCCACTGCTCTGGTTGGAAATGTTGTACTTCAGAAAAGAACCAAACAACCGGGTCCAGAGGGAACGTCCGGAGTGGGTAGGGGAGAGGAGACAAGACGACGAACACGACGAGCTAACAGTGTGGCGTGTGGACAGAATGACAACACTCACGGCCGAAGAAGGAAACGGACCGCTGACAAACTCAGCGGAAAGGGAGGTCGAAGAAACTGCTAAGAAAATACTGTAATGCAAGCGAGTCGATATTACTGGACGTATTGCAATACGGTAGGGAGAATCCGAAATTTAAAAATGACGTCAGGTTATATTTTTGCAGGCCTTTTTCGCGATATCTTTCAAGCTTTAAATCCGCCATTGACATTGTGAGCTTTATCTTCATCAATCACACATTCATTTGTACAGCACTTAACAAAATAAACGACTGAAAACTAACTCATCTTTAAGTCGTTCAACGACTTTTCTACGCTAATTTGTATTTGTTTTGACTTTGATCAGATGGTACGAATAATGAGCAATCAATGAATTATTAGCACGGGACAGATTCAAATTATTTTGTGATGCATAATTGAGTTAGTAAAACCATTATATCAGTCTAATAGTTAATTAACTTTTAGTTAATAGCCGGTTGCCTACTTAACGATTCATTATCTTCTCATTCGACTTGTAAGCTTGGTTTTTGTTTTATTTTACAATGTTCTTGAATAACACGTAACAGCTTTTCTTAGATGAAGCTAGAGGAAAAAGAGCAATGCTTTTGTTTCGTCTTGGTATCAAAAGAAGACACTCCAGCGCACGTGCACTGACGCTTTCGACGTGGTACACCACGATAATGCGTTCGCGAAGTCCACTGTTTGTATGCCGTCATTTGTAGGTGACACAATGATATCTCAACCAGTCAAAAAGGAGAAAAAATAAGTATAAGTAATCGTATAAATGCGAGTGCAATAAAGGATTTACACTACGAGTGATATTTGAAAATTCTCTTAAAATTGCATGAACCTCAAGCGCATTTTGAAAGAATTTTCAAATATCACGACCAGTGCAAATCCTTAATTGCTCGGGCTTTCATACGATTACTCACTTATTACAGAACTGAGAAACTTGCGAACGCGCGCGAGTAAATTTGCACTGCAGTGCAAATTAAGAATTAACGATAAATTGGCCTGCTCTCAGCCAATCACATAGAAGTAATTTTCTCAGTCGTATACTAAAACGTATAAGTAGCTGTAAGTACACTCTGTGTACTCACCAGTAGACAATGTACCGTATCCGCCAAACAGTACATTAGCCAAGGAACGATTCATAGCCTTGCACATGATGTAGGACAGGATACCGCCAGAGAAGCCCACAAGGGCTCCCACGATGGTCAGCAAATCGTTGTTCAACATGAAGCCTTCTGCACAGAGGGCCCAGCCACTGTAACTGTTGAGAACAGTGATGACAACAGGCATGTCTGCGCCACCAATGGAGGCCGTCATATGCACACCCATGATGGATGATAACGTGGCGGCGGTACCTGAAATACACAACATAGAGAACAAAAATTATTAGCTTACCCATTCCGTGACTACTAGAGAAAGGAGGTGGACCATTTCTGTTTTAGAGAGACGCTTCCATGTTTCCCTCTGACAAAGAATTGGCAGTGTGTTCTTGAACTTGATGCGCTCTAGTTGAAAACTACAACACAAACCTACGCAGAAAGGGAAGTGGTAAGCTATGAAATATCTGACAATGTACAAAAAGACAATCACAACTCAGTTGAAGTGACGACACAGATAGCAGATCTTCCACGAGTATTTTAGATTTGTTCGCTACACTGACGAGTTAAGGGAAACAAAAATTTATTTTGACTAGTTAGTATGCTTGATTTTCCCTTGATGCTACGGGTGAAATTGCCTGTTGTTGATAGAATTCACCCACAAAGTAACAGGTTTGCTATGGGTGTGGAGAACAAGGCTACAGGTGAATCAAAACTTCATGACAGCCCTGACTGTTACAGAAGGTTACATGTGTGATGGCAGAGAAATGCCCAGTCACGGTATTTTGAGTTATTTTGGCCACATACAAAATTACCTTAAAATGGTAGGAAACCTGAAAATAACAGTTTAATAAGATAGGAAAACACCAAAGAGAAAATGGTAAACCATGAAGGAACAAGGATGGCTAAGGATGGAGAAGATTAACACGGATTACAAACGAATTTGAAAAATTGAGGCTAAACTTTTCACTATGCGCAAACCGTGACTGAGCTCCTATGAAAATAGCCACGTCATTCCGTGGGATAAAGCTAAATACGTTCCGGGAATTTGCCCTTTATCTACAATTCAAGGTACTCACTCACCCAGCATAGGTATTCCAACCGCAGCACTATCGGTAGCCATATACCAACCCATGGCTCCAACATTAGCCAGCGCCATAGCGATATTCAGCTGGTTTTTAAGCGGCAGATTCAGCGCTCGGGAATCCAGCAGACCGTGAAGTTTTCCAAAGGCCACCAAGGAACCTGTGAAGGTCACTCCACCAATAAATGTGCCGAGAAAGATGGCCGCTTTATGGACATTCCCTGCGGGGTCGTCTGCAAAGAGATCCACATCCGCCAGGTACTTGGCAATGGCGGTTAGGACAGCAGCTAGGCCAACAAAGCTGTGGAATGCTGCAACCAGCTGAGGGAGATCACTGACGGCAATGCGGCTGGATATGACCGCTCCGATGGTACCACCCACTCCCATCATGGCGCCCATCTGTGTCAGCACGTCCGTGGAAGGTGCCAGGGCCCCAATGGTAGCGGTCATGCCAGTACCTATGCCTATAATACCTAGACACGATAGAAATGAGAAGCAGAGTTAGAGCAGATGCTGACAGTGTCATAAAACAACAGGGTTTTTGTTCTCGGGCATAAATATGTTTTGGGCCCAACTCAGTCTCATTTTAGCCCAAGCTGCTAGGCGAGGGATAAAATGAGACTGAGAAAGCCCCAAAACATACTGTGTTTATGCCCAAGAACATAAACTCTACTACTATTATTATCACTTTAGAAGGCAATGAGAAAATAAAAACTGAAAAAAAAAAATGACAACAAAACAGTCTGAACAATCACGCAAGCGTTTACAAGTTGAATGGCTTTTTTTTCTTCAATGAAAATACACAATACATCAAACGAAGCTGGCCATAAATTACAAAATCTTGCCATTTGATCATGAGTTTTCAAAAGTTGTAGAAGACATGAAAGGAAAGTTCAATAACGCTTGTTTGTAAGTGGTGAAATTGATTGTACAGTTGCTAAACTGACAGTTTATAAATTTCAGGAGCTAAAATACATTTTAGCCCGCCAAATGCTCTACAATGCCCGACAAAGTGATAATAAAAGCTATTTTACCACGCAGAACTTTATGTCATCCGGATTTCTTGCAACTGATGGCATTCAACCACTGTGTACACCACCTAACTGCCTCTACTACCAGTGATTTCAGTTAATGTTGATAAATTTTGAGTTACAAAAGTGAATTACACAAAGTCATTGCAACCACATTGATTTTGGGCCCTTACACAATGCCTGTGTCTGCATATTTGCGAGAATGGGTTCTCAAACAATAAGAGGGGTGGTGAAACCACAAAAAGTAAATTTTGTTCACTACAAAATTTAATCCAATTAATCTGTAATAAACCGACCAGTTCGGTTACACATGAAGTTGTTCTCTGGGACCGAGATTTAGTATCTGTTATCTGTATATGAGAGGGTTTAATTACAGAGAATATATAGGCATTAAGCCGGGATTTAAGACACTGTCTGCAAAAGAGAGTGCACTTACATGTAACAAGGACACACAGTTCCCTCAGGACTCTCGGGAGGTTAATTAACTTACCCAGAGCATTTCCTTGTCTTGATGAGGTCTGAGTTGAGAGGCCGCCCAGCGCACCAACACAGCACAGCGATGATGCCAGGTATGCCATCTGATCAATATCAGTATACCCAGCCATCTTAGCGGCAGCATACCCTCCTAGAACAGCCGCTCCAGGAATGACATACAGGTTTGTGTACTCAGGGGGGTCCCCTTTGGGAAACAAAATCATGATTAACACATGGAACACAGGAAGTTACAGATCAACATCACAAAATTACAGCAACCTGTTCTGATTTATCACTGCCATTTCAAATTTTCTACTACCCACTGGCAACAGTAATATTTTTTCTGTGCAATGCTACTAAAGATAGTAAGCCTTGTCTACAAGAAATGAAATGAAAGATATGATTTTCTGAATACAACGTTATAGAGAGAACGGAACCTGGGGCCCGTTTCTCAAAAGCTCCGGAAATGTTTCGCGCAATCAAAGCCACTTTTTTAGATAATCTGTATCTAAAAAGCAAGAGGTGCATATGCCTGAAACTCCTTGTATGAAGAGAACCTCTGTTCATATTAGGAATACGTGAATAAAACAGCTGTGTATTAATCGTAAGGTTTGAGATTTTGCTACGTCTTTCTGGGTGCAAAAACCTTTCGGGACCTTCAAGAAACAGGCCCCTGGGTTGTTTTGCATTAATTTTGTTTTCACATTTTACTCTTTAAGTTTCATGCATCTTACAAAACTGCAAAAACCAAACAAATAATCCCTCTCCATTTTGCCCTTTGAATAAGCAAATGCAGTTCAAGCAAAATAGGACATTACCTGGTCTCCTGAACATGTCCAGCATGCGTTTGGTGATAATGAATCCACCAGTGATGTTGATACTGGACACCAGTGTTGCCAGTGCAGCCAATGAGGTGGCAGTGTTGTTGGGTAACACCCCGCCTCCCATTAAAACCAACCCCCCTGCAGCAGTAATGCCTGAAATAGCATTAGTGACAGACATCAGGGGGGAGTGAAGGGCAGGCGTCACACCCCAAACAACTTTGTATCCAATCACACCAGCTAAAGAAAAGGTGGTTACCATGGTAGCAAAGGCAGGATTCGGAGAAACTATTCCCAGGCTAAGAAGGGAGCCTAAGCCAGCTGCAAAGTAAAATAATCAAAGAATTCATTGATTACTACAAGTACCGGTAGTAAAATGAAGATTTTGGTATTGTCAAATAATAAATTAGCCCCACTGATGGAAAATCATTTCCTGATGGGGGCATTTCAGGTTAAATGATGCCCACAAAACACAAATAACATTTTTGCATGATGGCATATCACCACCAAGCCTCAGTTAAAAAAAATGCAAATTGTTAATTTAACATACACAAATTCCCAAGGCAGCAAAGATAAAAAAGTACACCCACATGAAAAGAACACAGAGGCACCCGAGGTTTGCGAAAATTTCACACAGATGAGGCTTGGATGTGAATTTTGAGCAAGTGATGTAATCATACATAAGATTCACAAGACAGCAAATTGTTATAACAATGCAAATATGTTTCATTAAAAAAATATAATTACTGTAGTAGCTCCTCTATCTTAGCTGTGAATTACTATAACTGTAGGTTCAATCTGTGCCAGTATTATCTACAATACTTAAAAACTTTGCCTCCTTAGTAATGCCATCATGATGTTAAATGTCCCGCTGATGCCTACCAAAATCTCAAGTGAAATCTGTTACTCAGTGTCATTTAAGTCACCTTATAGTTGATTTTTACTTAAATTGGGAAAAGAGGCTGGCATGAAAACAAGTGAAACAACAGTTAAATCTAATGGTACCCGTAAATGGAACTCCATAACACTACTGACTCACACTGTACATGTACATGTACCTGTTGTAAGACCAGTCTCCCATGCTGCAACACTAAACGGGGATTGCTCCGGTGGTTTGACAATTGCTTTTGGTTTGGGTGGAGAGGGTAAGGGAAGATCCAGTGCAGGAGGCGGCCACATCAGCTCTCCATCTTGAAGCACAATAGAGCCACGGACCACTTCATCCTTGAGATCTATGGCAAATTCTCCTTTCCCTTTCTCACCCATGGAGAACAGGTAGTTTTTCAGGTTATTGGCATACAGAGTACTTGACTGAGTTGGTAGTCGACTTGGAAGATCAGTGTATCCAACAATCTTTGGGTAGAAAAATGTTCAAGTTGGTACAAAAGCGTAAATTTAAGAAAGACAACTAATCAGATGCTTACTCAGACCAAGTATGAAGGATACGATCACACAATAATCTTTGGTTTGATAAGCCAGAACATGATGCATTGATGGACTGAGAACAAACGGACAAAAAAAAACATCTCCACTACCTCATTTAATGAGTGCTTAATGACTGATTATTATTGAGAATCGCATAACAATTTACTGTCCCATAATAAACCAGCTGACCATTCTAAATCGTTGCACAATAATTAAACTTTTCTTACATAATACATGTATTCAGGGTCAAGGGAGCTGAATTCTAAACCCTTTGTCCAAAGGTCTCTCAATACTGTGCAAGGCTGGATATTTTGAAGCAGGATGATCAAAATTTCATCTCAAAGTAGTAGGTAGCCAAATGAGCTTTCCCATCACCTCAGTGAGAGCTTTTTGTCTTAGTTCCTTGTTAACACCTCTACACCTCTACAAAATCATTAAAGGGAACTACATGTGCAGGTACATGTATTTTAAATTCAATCTTCTTACATGAATATATAGAAAGTTTACTTATCAAAGTGTATGAATTCCTTGAAATGGATATTACCAGGACACATTCAAGTCAAAATATGTCATTTTCCCTTTAGAAGACCATAATTTATCATGGTCTTAATTCAATAAATCAATGTTACATGTACATATACAAAAAAGACTGAAGCTACTACAAATCATAGAAGGCAGTACATGTAACCTGACAGAGATTCACATGCACTCACATTGACACCATTGTGATTGTACAGTTCCCCAGGCTTGGTCAAGTCACAGTTTCCACCAGTCTCTGCAGCCAAGTCCACTATAACTGACCCAGGTTTCATGGACTCTACCATCTCTTTAGTAATCAGTTTTGGAGCAGGTTTTCCAGGAATCAGAGCAGTTGTTATAACAATGTCTACTTCCTTGCACTGTTTGGCAAATAACGCCATTTCAGCTTTTATGAACTCAGGTGACATTGTTTTAGCGTAACCACCAGCACCTAACAAAGAAAGATTCAATGCCTGTATTTCATGGCTCGAACTGACNATAGAATTTGTATTTTTATGTAACACATGATTTAGCCTTTGCATTTTTACGCGAAAAGTGATTTTTTCTTTTAACGTGAAGCTGCTTTCGAATTTTTTGTGATGCGTGAAAAGGCCGATTACTTATGCGTGAAATGGTTTTCAGAGTAGGTATAGGGGACCCTCTTGTTTCTGTTTAGTACATACTCGTTGTAGAGATTTAAAATATATATATATAGAAATAAAACAGTTCAATTTGCTATCATAATGAATTATCTTATTACGATAAAATGTATTAACACTATATGTTTGAAAGCTATATTTCAACCCATTTCGTATATATACCACCCCTAGAAATTTTTTCATTAAAATTATAGAGTAAAACATTTTTAGTTAGGGTTTGTTGCATGGAAACATCGATAAACCTCTCGGGAATCTAGTAATTGTTACATCGCGAAGTTTACTGAGTGTTTTGATTGTGACCTGTGACCTGTGACCTGTGACCTGTAAAAGAAACCTGCCGCTGCTCGTCGAGGACGCCATTTCGCCCGACTAGCCGTCGTATCGAAAACGTGAGTGTTTTACTCTTGTTTTACCTCGATAACTGTTCCAGTCGACTTTATTTTCAGTTATATTGATAGGAATGTTTATAAGGTTCACAGTTTTCGTGATTGAAGTGCAGAACACTACGCTGAGATACGAAAATGTAAATAAAAATATTCCTTGTCTGTTCGTTTGTGTTTCTGCAGTCACTGTTCAGACGCTATCACGAGTGTGCAAGCTCAATACAAACTGTATGCATTCAGAATACATCAGTGTAAGTACAGTCGATAAAATGTTGTAGAAATGAATGCCATGGAGCATCTATCGAGCAAATAAAATACACATTTTCAAACTGATGTTTAGTTTTTCTTTATTGTACCCGGAACTTGAAGCAACGTTTGTTTGATTTTTATGATGCTTGTTACAATTACAGATGGAAATTGAAACGTTCACCAAAAGTCAGGNNNNAAATATATTAACACTATATGTTTGAAAGCTATATTTCAACCCATTTCGTATATATACCACCCCTAGAAATTTTTTCATTAAAATTATAGAGTAAAACACTTTTAGTTAGGGTTTGTTGCATGGAAACATCGATAAACCTCTCGGGAATCTCAGTAATTGTTACATCGCGAAATTTACTGAGTGTTTTGATTGTGACCTGTGACCTGTAACCTGTGACCTGTGACCTGTGACCTGTAAAAGAAACCTGCCGCATGATCGCGCCGATTACGTGACAAATAGGTCCCTCGTGAAAATAGAAGTATTTAAAGCGAAGGACGTCTAATATATCGCAGTCATCTAAAAAGGTTGCAAATGTCCCCAAAATTCAAGAGTTTCTGAAAGTTGTGCGAAGTCAAGCTCACCCAAGAATGAAGGTAAACGACCAAACTCGATCTCTTGGCTCTGCCAGGTTTTCTCTGACAATGAAAATCGAAACATGTGGGTTTACTCTCAGTAAGCTACTATGCTCCTAGGATGTTATGAAAGGAATGTGAGCGAATAGATTTTTCTTCCGAAGTATTCTTGGCATAATCACCTCCAAAGTTGTCTACATTCTGGAAAACTGTGATGAATTACAAAACGTTTCACGGGAACATCCGAAGTAGAAGCGTTGCTGAAAATTATATGCCTTGTGCAAGTCAAATGAAGCAGGAGTTTACTGTCTTCACTTGCTTATACGCGTCTGTCGTCATCAAGACTGATCGAGACTACAGATTGTGTTGCTCGGAATCGATCGATTTTACTGGAGTATGAAATGACAAAACCTGAGTAAGGTGACAAACTTCACTGGAGTACTTCTGCTTATAGCCTGAAATGTCAGTCGTCTCCCGCCATCAGCCTAATGGACTTTTTTACTTTTACTTTTTTGTTTATTTTAGGATCATAATTGATGTACAGCGCTAAAATAAATTTGGGAGCTGTGCTGACTAAACCCGTTGTTTTTTTATTTTGCATTTCAGCGACCGACATTTCAAATTTTCTTTTAATTTTGTAGTAAATCAAAACTTTCTTGATGGCAAAATTAGAATTAGGCTTTTCATGTTCTTTGCTAGTCCACTGATTGGTACTTTAGTTGTTAAGTTGTAAGTTGTGATGTTTTAAAGCATTCTTCTTTCTTGGCTTAAGCTATGCCTTCCGACGGCGTAAAACGGAGGAAACATAACGTATTCATTATGGCTTAAACGCAGCATAGCTGAAAAAGAACTTCTTCTTCTTGTTTCAACAAACTCACTTTTGAGCTCCGAACAAACTAACGTTGTTTTCCTATTTATGTTTTGCCAGCTTAGAAATTGCTACCAGGGAGAAAAGAGAATAACTATGGCCGGTTTTCGCCTCAAGTTCATTTCACCTCGACTCATCAGAAGTACCAAATTCCTATTAATACTATTTTTTGGGATAATAATATTTTTCACCAATCTTTACTTTCTGAAACTTTCTAAACCAACGGAAACAATAATGCCAACAACAAAGTGGGAAAATAAAGAAGAGAAGGAAGCTACCTTCCAGTTGATTTTCAAAACGACCTCAACTATCCAAAGGAAGAATTCAACGACAACGACAATCTCTCCAAAGACATTAGCAAGTCGCCTCACTTTAAACTCTAGTTTCCCTGAGAATCAAAATACATTTTGTGCAAATAGAATACATGTAATGGCTGGTGCGACAGTCCTCTTGAAAGACATCACAATAAAACCAAAGCTGGGCCACGCTAAAGTCCTTGAAGTCAAATTGGATCGCCCAAATGAAGAGGATGAATTTTTCAAGTTACAAAAAGGCTTCTTCACATTGTACTGCGGTGGTGATGTGAGCAAAGTGCAGGAGAAATTAAATGAAGCCAGAAAGTACAATGCGTTAATCGGTTGGATCGCTTCCCTTGAAGTTGCAAATCCTTCGCTAGTTTCGCTTCTTCGAATGAATCAGTCATTTCAGGCTGGCCATTACTTGGCAATTCAAAGGGCCGAGTATGCCAATGTTTACTGGACAGTCATTGATATGTTAGACATCTTCATCACGACACAACGCATGGGAATCGAACCAGAGAAGCTTAACATCGTTCTAATGGATGCTCATCCTGCTACTCCATTGGACCCCTTCTGGAGTGTGTCGTTCCAGAGGCTGATAAAGCTCGGCGTCGATCGCGTTTTTACAGAATCAGACAACGTTGTGTTTGAAAACATGGTTTGGAGATATCCACGGGTGAATTGCCCTTTATTGGATAAGAATCTCAAGTCTCTTGATTACATACAACCTTTCAGGGCGTTTGTGCTGAAGAGATTTGGCATTCCATCGAAATCGCCCTTGCGAAACTGTAGTCAGCCGCACAAACTAAACGTTCTGGTAAGCTTCAGAAGAGATTACCAGAGCCATCCGAGGAATTTAGATGGTACAGTTGACAGAAAAATTGCCAATGAGAAAGATGTCATAAGTGAAATGGAGAAAAACTTTTCCTCACAACTGAACATAACCAGTGCCCAGTTAGATGAATTTCCATTGAAACGACAGTTGGAACTTGTTGCATCTGCAGACATTTTCTTCGGAATGCATGGATCTGCTCACGGATTTCCCATTTTTANGAGATTACCAGAGCCATCCGAGGAATTTAGATGGTACAGTTGACAGAAAAATTGCCAATGAGAAAGATGTAATAAGTGAAATGGAGAAAAACTTTTCTTCGCAACTGAACATAACCAGTGCCCAGTTAGATACATTCCCATTGAAACGTCAGCTGGAACTTGTTGCATCTGCCGACATTTTCTTCGGAATGCATGGATCTGCTCACGGATTTCCCATTTTTATGGCGCCAGGCGGAGCGGTAGTTGAAATATTCAATTCTAATTCTGGTAATTGGCACATGGAGAAAATATCTACGCTTTCAGGGCATTCTCACATTACTTGGACAACTACAGATAGCAACGCTTATAACTCAAAAACAAGATCGACAACAATTCGTGCGGGAATACCCACGATGCTGTTAAAAAAGGCAATTGTCAAAATTTGTGAAGAGAAACATTGAAGGAGTTATATCTCGATTAATTTAGCGTGAATGGTTCTGTGCCTCATGCAGCCTGTACCTTCACATTCTCTGTGGAGAAAGTTGGTTAAGTCAAGAGAGCAGAGCATCCTCCCGTGGGCTGGTTCATCATCTTAGATGTTTTCCCATAAAAAAAAGAAAGAAACCGTGGCGTATTTGGTCATACTGTTCACGATTTTCATGATGGCGTCATTTGACTACAAGTACCAGAATCTACTCCGATCACTTTTTTTCTTTTTTCCGTACTAATTGGAACAATTGTCATCAAAAAGCAAACCTCACTATTGTTTGAAAACTCATATAATACAGGAGAAACGAAATGAATTCTGGTAGATATATATAGTCAGATGACGACATCGAGCAAGTAAGCTATTGTGGACGGTTTGCTAACAAGAGACTCGTGCAATGGAAACTTTAAACCTGATGAAGTACTAGGAAGGGAAGAAAAACGCTACCGTCTTCAAAGGATATTCTGCATTCATTCATATGCAGACGCCTGTCCATTTTTTTCGACTGTCTGTTTTTCAGGTTTGGTTGTGCTTGGCATTCGTTTGCATTGCACTCGTTTGACTGTTTGTTTCTCGGCCCTTCATTCGGTTTTGTTGTTTGATTTTGGTGCCGTTATCTGTTTCATATTCATACTCATCAAGAGATTATAATCCTCTTGTACTCGTATAAACCTAGGGAGTGCCGAGCTACTTTGCTTTAATATCGGGAAAGGCATCCCCACAACGATGGACATTTTTCCTTCGTTTAACAGATTTAAACAGATGCATTCATAATGCATTTCACTTGACTGTCTATTCGTATTATTACATGTACCATACAATTCTGGGCATAAGACCTTGGTCTATATTTGGATATAACGAAAACACTCAAACCTTATTACTACTCATGAATTAAATGCCTGTAACGAACGTTAGCTAGTTATATAATCTTGCAATTAGGTAGGTTTTATAATAAATTAAATAAAGTGTGGTTTTGACTTTAGTTTCGAAAAGTAATTGGTTTTGCATTACTGCGTTAAGCAATAGCTCACTTTCGACATATTAAAATGCAGCTTGACAGTGAGGCCTAGAGGACACAAACAAAAGAAATGTCATTTAGTTCCCTTTGTTTGTGTCCTCTAGACCTCTTTGCCAAGCTACATTTTAATATATCGAAAACAGTGTATTGGTTAGAAAACTCGCGCCACTTTTTCATCCGAGCAGAAGTAAAGCAAAAACCGAAGGTGACTAATTGCTCGCATACGTTTTCTGGTGCTTCGCGTTAGCTACATGTGTTCACACCGAGTTTTGATTGGTTCATTTGATTGCCTGTGTCCATGTCCTTTGTGATTGGCTAGAGTGATAACTTTGGTTTTTGTTTTCTGACGCACAATTGAAACTGAAGCGCTCTTGTAAAAGATATAAGCCTTGCGCTGATTTGAAAACAAGTCAGTGAAGACCAGCGGTCGTTTTCTCTTGGTTCATAATTTAAGAAATCACCGTATAACCAATTGCAAACGTCACGTGCTGTTCTCTTTTGCTTCGTTGTGCACTTTGGTGACGTCACTACTCGCCAAAGACCCAGAATACTTTGACTAATAGGTAGGATGTCCTGACTCCTGTGTCGTCCCAACAACCGCCTGTCCCTCGCCTGTCTTTCTTAGCCCGCGGGGCCTTGGCACAAGTAAGCAGAGTTTAACTAACAAATTTTAAATAAAAATTGAAGCTCTGGTGCTGCAATCAAGCGGTTTTGGTTAGAGCTCAACCAGTGGACATTTCGGAGATAAAACGAGTTGACTAGTGCAAATCTTTGTCCAAGTATCTAGCCAATCAAATGAAATGTTTCCAGAGCTGTATCTTTTTCGCACCAAGACCCTGCCGGCTAAGAGGAACACGAGCACTGAGGAACAGGGGGCTCTCGGAACGAGAAATATCCCTGACCCGTACCCCGTCTATTGCATTTTTTCAACCAGAGACGACTGGGTACAACTGAGGGAAAATCTTACTGTTACAGGGTTGAAGGCTGTCATACAATCCTCGTGAATCTAGGGGCATAAAGCTGAGAGGAGGGCGAAGTAACCCCGGCAAAAATTATAGCGGCAAGCGTTTTGAAGAAGGGTGGGTTCTTTCCAACGTTATTGGAAACTTTGTAGTCAGGCAGTTTTTGCTGGGATTACGTGATCATCCCACCCTACCTTACTGCCTCTGGGTCCGAGGACACAGAGAGACGCGACAGAATTGTAACGAGTTCTTTCCTGACGAGATTTAAATTTTAACTTCTGTTCGGGGAATTCTGCCCAAATTTATGAATAAATTTGCGCGATCCACACGGGTATGTATTCCAGTGACTCCCGATCGCCGGATATGGCAAAAAATCCTCGTGTTTCATAAAATGAATTCGAAGTGTGCAAAGTTTATCGCCACGTACACAAGCAGCAATTGGTGCATTTCGCTCAAACTTAACAAGCAAGATCATTGTTACTTTGGGAAATGGAAAAACGATGGTAAAGATCTTCAATGGATTTTCTACACTCCAGAGAGAGAATTAAAGGACAAGAATAAGGGAGAATAATCGTGTTTTAAAAATATTTTAGGGAATTCCTGATAAACTCTGATAAGTGTACGCGAAATGAAATTGAGCCAGATTTTTCGAGTTCTTTGTCGCCTAGTTTTAATCTAAGTCAAACCAAAATAACCCACTAGGGCGGGCTACAACGCAGCCTTTAATTATTGAAGACTTCAGCAAAATATGACTAACATTAAATACCATAAATGATAAATAACTGAAACTAAACTATATATGAAATCCTAGCACAAAAAAATAAATAACAAAAATAAATCAGATATTACACCGGGTTGTCGGCAAACATAAAGGAAAGAAGACCCAAGGGAACGTGTGAAGAAAAAACGAATGCTTGGCCTGCAAACTGCTTGCCAATGCTATGTAAAGCATGATATGGGAACTAACCTAAATGAGACAGGCTACAAGTTATACCACTGTTGCTTCCCTTCTCACGAGCCATACAAGATTAGAATTTCACTATGGAGTGGTATCGTCGGTACATTTCGCTGACCCCGATCGATGAACCACTCCTGGGGGACTACCCCGATGGACCTAGTCCATGGACTACGTAAATGGACCACCGTCCTTGGACCAGGTCCATCTGGGCAATAGCCAACACGTTTTTGACGCGCAGACATTTATGCTCAGTCACGCACAAAAAATATATAAAAATTATAAATTTAAATATTAAATGAAGATTTAAATGTAGAGGATAAAATGACATTGCTGTAAAATATATACGTCGTTGATCTGGATAATAAATAAACGAATAAACAAATACGTAAATGAAAGGTAAGAATAGTAGAAATAAAATCATGCAAAAAGTTAGGCATTAACAGTCAGTCATAACAGACACGAGTTTTGAAGTTGTCTATTGCACAGGCATTCATAGCATCAGCATGCATCAGCTGGAAGCATGTTCAAAAAAGGTGTTCCTTAAAATAAAACTGGAAATTCCCTGATTGTCACTACGCAGGTTGTAACCCACACAAATATGATCGGTAGTCCATCGAAGCTGAAACCATGCGCGGTCCAAAGTTTAGGTTCAGCGTTGATGAATGTACGGTCAATGGCGGGGTAAACCTCCGAATGTCACGCAGGTTGTAACGTCCCTATGAAACCACAAAAATATGATCGGTAGTCCATGGACTAGGGGTCAGCGAAATGTACCGACCCCTATTTGGTAAAACAGCCGCGATCCGAGTCATGCCATGATCCGATCTACACCTCCAGCAACTTCTGCAATATTACCCATCTTTCTCTTCAAAACTCCTAAGTGCATCCATAAACACGATAGACACATGTAAACCATAACCTAATATTAAATGAAAACTCCGTAATTTAGCGTTGTTAAAACCCATGACGTTCGAGTACAAACGCATTGTTTTTGTCGACCGTCATGGGGCTGTCACGGGTCTGTTAAGTGACTATGAAATAAATCTAGATAACTGCTGTATATCTTCCCGTGACGAACGCTTGACGAGTTCCCTGCCACTTAGCTTAAAATTACCAGTTATCTAACGGCAACGGCAGAACGGGAAATTCCCAAATATAACAAAAGCCATTAGCTTTACCTTGTTCAGTCACCGCGTAAACAGTCTTCACGCCTCAGGACTCAAGATAACGTAAGTACACTCTTTTTTCCCAACAGTGTAAGATTTCTTTTTATAAGAATATCGAGGCTGAAAGTTATGAAATTTTAAGAGCATTTTAAGAATAAATCCGAGGCTGAGATTTTGAAAAGAATAGAATTTTGTGTGTTGAAACTTTAGTAAATACAATAAATTATATGTGATTCTAAGTGTTCCAATGGGGCGATATGGAAGATAAGTAAGAGAAAGAGTAAGAGACTTTATGTTATGAGGGTGACACGTCACTGTAACTAACATTACTGATGAACTTGTGGCCCTCTAAAGAATGCAAAAATACAAATGTTAAAAACTACATTAGCTATATATATTATTTACAATAGAAATAAAAATATTTCTGGAATTTGATAACGGGACAAATCGATTTTAAACGAAGAGCATACAAA